ACAAAATGCATCCAGCGAATTCCCAACAGAGAGAGGGTTTGTGTGTGATAAAAGCGTATTAAATCGCCTGGGGTAGGTTTATGACTAATACTCCAGTCTCATACAGACTTCTCAGAACAGGGGGCAGGCTTCTTTCTCTCCTCCAAAATTCTCCCGCAAATCTCTCGACTCACTGTGACGATAGTCTCGTGACTCCCTCGACTGCAGTCTCTTTCCCCGACTCTCTCGACGGCAGTCTCTTTCCTCGACTCTGCTTTATTAAATAAAAAAATCGCGAGTTAATATAGAAAAAGGATCAGCTGATCACAATTTACCCTCGGCCCGGCACGCAGCTACCACGAGTGCCAAAAACTATCCCTTGACATGTAAACCGATTCTCCAATTATTTACCTTATCTCAATCACGAGTTCTCGTTTCACCAAAATTATACTTTGGGATATCTAAACATTTATTCAACCTTTTAATCAAAACAAATACTGTTAAACAAAACCAAGTATCTCGCCCATTCCCATTGTTTACTAGTGACCCAGGTTTAAAACATCGCCTCCTGCCCTGAGATCGTGTTTCTCATCGGTAAACACACATCTTAACCCAAATTGTATTTTGATATATAAAGACCATTTTCACTTCAAAAGTTATATTTGCGTGTGTGCATTCATGAGGTTGTGTAAGTGTATACCTCTCTATGTTACAGTAGTCATGGTCAACTATAGTTGCTCGTTAGCCAATCTCTATTCAAAACTTCGTATGTACTTCGAGACACGCATTCTTACAGTAGTGTGTATGTGTAAACACATTCTTAATGTCAGAAGACTAGATTAGACTTTTTTAGCCTTGTTTGGCAGCCAGTCTAGGCGAGGGACAGTTCTTGAATTCCAAACCAAAAATTATGACAATTCACAAATAACGCAGTAGGCTCGAACAATAGAGCCAGGTGGGCATTTGTGATTTTTGAGCATCCCGTAAGATTTTCAGCTCAACTATTGAACTTTATTAATGTTATCTGTATTTAAGATGAAGATAAAAACAAAAATTTCACATCTCTAATTAGAAAATCGGGTTTATATCTAGAAAAATCCAAAATTCCCGGAAAAGAGATAAATTTTATATTTCACCCATTTAGACATCTTTTAGGGGGTTTCAGTGCCAAAAACGGATTCAGAGGACTAAAAGAACGCGGGAATACAGATCTAGAGCAGTGGTTCTTAGCGGGAGGCTACATGACTACAGGGGGGGGGCTGGTAAATTTTATAAAGACCCACAGAAAAATTTTGGGATTTGGAGGTCTACAAGTTCAATGAAAGGGCCCACAGTGCTACAACCCTGTTACCCTCAATATATTTTTTCTAATAAACTTAAATTATGTAATTGAAATATATTTTTAAGCTTTATTTCCAAAATTACTTACATTTACTTATTGAATAATCCATGCATAATTACCAACTCGCAATATATACTTATGTTCATTTCCTTTTTTTCTGCGATGTAAGCTAAATTCCTCCCCCCCACACACACACACATACATGCACACACTTTTTTTTAATTAATTTTTATTAATAATTATGCTGAGTTCTTAATAGGAAATACCAGTACAAGAAACGAAATAAAATAATTATTTTTCCCACGTCGGTGTTATTTTTATTTTTTTTGTTATTTTACTAAAAAAAAAAAAAAATTAATTTGTTTGCGCATTTATGTTCAGAACGTTTTTTTTTTTCCGAAATAAAAGTTTATTTTGTTTAACTGGTTTGGTTTTTAAAAGAAGCGGTTTGATGGTTATTTGGCTAAATATCACTGTTTATTTTTTCCAGTAACTGTAAAATTAGCTTCTGTTGAATTAAACGGCTAGGAAAGGTGTGGAGGGGCATCAAAAAATCATCACTCAAAAGGGGGCCAGGAATAGAAACAATTTGATAATCCCTGGTTTAGATCATGATTTTTTGATAAATACAAATAACTTAAGTCGAAAGCCGGTATTTAGTGCAAGACATATGGCGCCCAAATTGGATGATTAATGATAGAAACTGAGTAAGTTTTAAGTATGTTCCCAAAGAGAATTTTATTACATTTTGCAGATTAAAATTGTTTTAAAATTTAAGAGGTTACATTAAAAATCAGAAAAATTTGTCTCGAAAATATATTGTTAGCGTAATTCTAAGTTGGGAGTGGGGTCATCGACAAAGAAAAATACAACCGAAATATAACAAAAGTTTGTTAATTTAAATTTTGTGTTGTAATCCCCCCCCCCAATTCATTTGACCTAGGTGATTAAAGAAAAAAAACGATTATCAAGTCAATGACTTATAATACGAGTGTCGTTCAAAAAGTGTTATGCCTCATCTAGAAGGAATTGGAGAAACATGATAGTTTTTCACTACATTTCAATATATCACCCCCTTGACATCAATGCTCTTGGCCCAACGATGCTTAAACATTGCAATCCCATCACGAAAGAAAGTGGTGTGTTGGTCCTCCAAAATCTTCTCCATAGCACATAGGATCTCATCATTGTTTCCAAAACTGAAAGTCTGCTGAGTAATCTGTTGTTAGCTGCTTCAGCTACTACAATCTGAGCAGTGTGAACGGGCGCCTTATCCTGGAGCAATAGCACACCTGCTCTCAGCTTCCCTCTGTGTTTCGACTAGATTGCTTTCTCCAGTTAGCTTAATTCTGATATATAATACTGTCAATCAATAGTTTTTTTTTCACTTTTCCCAGGTAGTCTATTATGATTACACCTTCAGAATAAAGAAAAATGTCATCACCTTGCTAACAGACGTTGTCTGCTTGAACTTCAGGGGTGGAGAACGAGAGTGTTTCCAATGTTTGCTTTCAATCTTTGATTCAGGTTGGAAGGGGTGAACCTTGAGTTATTAATCTGTGGTAGAAATTCTCATTGTCACTTTGAAAGCGTGTCAGAAGTGTATTGCACCATGTCCTCATGGATTTCCTTGGGTGTCATACCTTTGTGGAGGACCGTGGAGTGAAGATATAAAGAACACACGTGGGTTAAAATTTCCTGCTAGCCGCTCCAGCTACATGAGAATGTTGGACTTTAATTAAATCCAAAGAAGACAAAGAAAACAAAGACTGATAATTATATATAAACAAATATATATATATTAACAAGTTACAAGCACATGGACAATTACATTGAGTTTGTATTGTGAATATTATGTGTGTGTATTGTGGTGAGTGTTCGTACGTACGTGTATTGGTATTGTTCTTAGCGTGTTCTCCGAATTTGTGAAATGCTGTATTGGTGAGAGCTCACATATTGGTATTAGCTGAAATGAAGAAAGAAGAGAAAGAATTACCTCACCTCCACGCGAGGTGGGATACGGCCCAAGTCCTGAGGGGAAAAGAGAGATCGAGGCAAAAGGTCAACCAGTATTTATAGTGAGGGGAGAGAGACCCCTGGTGAAGGATTAAGGAACTAAGGAGGAGCTAACTCCGACAGCTTTCTTTTGCAGCTACTTTATTTGGGTCTATGTTTTGTCCATTTTTAGATTTGTCGTACACCTCACATGTTTGTAACACGTAACTCGATTTTCCGTGTAAGTCGGAATGTACCCGCGATTTTTCGTGATTAAGCACTCAATCACCAACAATCCAATATGGCGTACAACCAGGAATTGACCCATGCCGTATATACGAGGCAAACGGCATAACTCGAAACAAGATTAATAGAAATTGCGTCGTAACCACGAATCGTCATAGGCTGGAACTGTCGTAACCTGGGGACTTACTGTATTATTTAAAAAATTAAAAATACTTTAAAATTCAAAATTTTGGGAAACTCTTCGTGGCATAATGTTTAACGTGGCCTATTTGACCATTAATAGTGAGTTTGATCCTTACTATGTGCCCACTGCCGAACTAAATAAATTCTATTTTTTTAAATATCATGCCCCTTCACAACATAGTCAATCATGGTCCCCAACGCCTTCTTTTTCTTTATTAACCGTGAATTGTCGCACATTCTGGGAAAAGATAATATAGTGGCTTCCTGCTCTCTCCAGTTTTGAATTTAGAATTGTCCTTCTTCTAGACTGGCTGCCACCCAAGGCTACCGACACAGTCTACCCTACTATTTAAACCATGTTTTATTAAATGCCATGTCACTTCAGCGTATTGATGATTATGGTTCTCCACATCTTCCTTTTCTTTATTGTCTTTGAATTGCTATGCCTTCTTGGGAAAAGTAGTTCAGTGGTTTCCCTCGCCTTTTTCATGATTTTAAATTCAGAATAATACTTCACTAAGACTAACTACCATCCAACGCTAAAGGGCCCAGTCCATCCTGATACTTAATTAATTTACATTTATTAAATGTTGTGTCCCTTCTGGTCCTATGCGATCATGGCTCTCCACAGATTCCGTTTCTTTATCATCTCTGAATTGCCGTGACTTCTAAGAAAAGATAGAGGAGTGGTTTCCTGTTGCCTTCTCCACAGTTTGGAATTCAGAATAGCCTTTCTCCCTTCAGGATGTATAAAATTATGACTCTCCACAGATTTCTTTATTATCCATGAACTGCTACGTTTTCTTGTGAAAGACAGTGGAGTGATTTCCTGTTAACTTTTCTACACTCTGGAATTCAGAGTAGTCCATCTACCTTCAGGACGTAAGTGATCATGACTCTCCACATCTTCTTTTTCTTTATTATCTGTGAATTGCCATAATTAATCGGAAAAATAGTGGAGTGGTTTCTTGTTGCCTTCTCCACAGTTTGGAATTCAGAGATGTCGTTATACTAGATTGGCTGCCACTCAAGACTAGAAAATTCGGTCTACCCTATTGTTTAATTCATAGCTGGTGGAGAGAAGAAATGGATTCATATCATACCCAAAGGTATTAGGTTTGGAAGTGAACGGAAGTAACTAGAACTTGAACTCGGCACAACGAATCCGCTTTTAATAACCGTTACGCCACACGCGCACGTCCTGATGTTAACGATACTTTTTCAATTATAATTTTTTTCCTTTCTTTTTTTTTAGGAATGTTGCTATTTTGTACGGTGGCATCTTTACTTATGCTGATTCTCCAGGTAGAAGGTAAGTAAATTAGATCTAATTGCCTTATCTTAGATGATTTATGAGTTATAAATGTGTCATTGGCTGGTGTGACTAACTGGTAGATGATTACCGTATATTTCAGCGTATAAGGCGACCTTTAGATAAGACGAGGTAAAAAAAATATACCAAATTTTAACGAATTTATCCTATACCTGTAGTATAAGACGACTGCATATTGATGATGTAAAAATGATGTTATTGGAAATATTACTGCATCCTTAGAAATTCAAAATAAATGAAATAACAAAACCGATTCTATATCATGTTTTCCATCACACGTCCCCTAAAAGGGAAACCATTGTTTTGCTTACGTTCCATCATGTGATCTCTTGCGAATACTGATTCTTCTTCTTCTTCTTCTTCTTCTTCTTCTTCTTCTTCTTCTTCTTCTTCTTCTTCTTCTTTATCTAAACAGTTACAAACAGTCTGGTGTACTAATTGCCATCTACTTTTTTTTTAATGAAAAAGGAATATTATGTTATTCTAAATGTAATTACTGCTGTAATTAACACTAACATGATAATTATTGAACGTTTAGCAAAAGATAAATGTTGCTCTGAACGCAACGATAACTCAATGCTTACATTTTCTCGGCTGAGGTTGCATGGAAACAAGTTGATTTCACTGATATGGAATTATTTCTCGAGTAGGCAATTTATTATGAGGTTATGTGATTTGTCCTTTCCGGCGAACTACTGCTCTGTGAACCCGACTTCAAGAAGTATGTTTCCCCGATCACTACAATCTTCACCTGTTCAAAGCTAGGGCTCCACACCTATTCGCACAAATTGCCTCCTAACGTAACCCTTTACCTCGAGTGCATCCCCCACATCCGGCCATTGTAAAGAATGAACCTTATTGTAAAAAAAGTCCCGATATCTACCTGATAGATAGTTATACCAGTTACAAAAGACATTCAACTGAAGAGAAGAAGAAAAAAAAACTATATTGATCACAATGAGCAATGAAAATTTTACTACTGGGACAAAAAGCGTGTTTTAGATTAAATCGAGTACGTTGATTCCAAATCCTTACTCAAAATTACTCTAGCATTTAAAAATGAGTTTTAACAACAACATAACTTGATTATATAATTATTTTCTCTTCCAGTTACATGTGCTAACTATTTTAATTGTTGCTGCTATTGGAAGTCTTCAAGAGATACGGCCTTTGTTATTTATTAAAGTTCTTTGTGATTCTGTAGCGCAATTTTATAAGATCTGATGTAGGATTTTTTTCTTTAAGAGCGCGAACGATAATTCGATTGAAGGCATTTTTAATCATTGATCTGAGAAAAGAGTTTTACATAGCTAATAGTTTAGGTATTTGATTTGATTTGCTTAACGGCCTATCATCTTCTTATGGATCATTTAATGACGAAATTTAATTTTCTTTGATGCTTTGCAGTAATACAAATATATCTTATTCTGCTTTCACAGTTGAATACATGGTAGATGATACTCCATTTTTGTGCATATATATGTTTGTGTGGACGTAATTACTAGAGGCAGTGATATGCGTGTTTTACGTTGTAATGGAAGTTATATTTTGGAATACAGTTTGATTTCTTTTAGAAATTGTAGGATATTATATGGATTAATGTCATGAAAGAGTTCTTTCATGTTGGTTGATGTATTGCTGGTAATTTTACTATAAATAGGTATGGTTGGTCATTTTTCTATATATAAAATAAAATGATATTTTTATTATAAAAGCGTATTTTATACTTTCGTAGTGTTTTGTTTTTGTTTTGGCGTTCACTATTTGCCTATAGCTGAGGCCCTAACAGGTGCTACCACCCCAGGTTATGGCGAACCTGAGAAAAACATCAATTAAGAGGTGGTTCTACACTCTTCAACACTTCCAATTTTCCAATCGGAGGCTTTTCTGTCGGATGTAGTTTATCGTCATACCCAGGACTAGTTTAGGCATTTCAGAACGAGTTGGACGCCAAGCATGACATCCATCACGAAGTTTGGTTAAGATGAAGTAAAACGTATTTAAAATTTCTTAATAATAATAATAATAGCACAATAGTCTCGGTTCGAGAATGGGAGAAGTAAACTCACCCTGGATGCCTTCATCCTTGTCCAGAACAGAGAAGTAATGTACCTTCGTCCAGTCCTTTTATGAAATCTGCCAAATCGTCCGACTAGTCGTCTTAACTTTCTCCTCCTCTCACTTACTTCCGGTCTGTTTCATCAGCTGTCAAAAAATGTCGTTTCAATGCAACAGGACAACATCAAAAAGGCGCCTCTCTCCTCTTTCTTCTTTCTCTCTCTTTTGTTCTTTTTCAGCTACAAACATGTTATTCTTTTTAATGTTGATCTTTATTTCTTGTTTTCTTCTTAAAGGCGGGAAAAAGATATTTTGTTACTACAGCAGTTCCGCTAATTCCCGAACTGGTGCCGGCAAGTTCTGGCCGGAACACATCGACCCATTTCTCTGTACTCATTTGATATTTGCATTTGTTGATATAACTAAAGATGGACGCGATTTAAGACCAAACAATTGGAATGATCTCGGACCAGATGGTAAGTTCATTTTTGTTTTAAATTTCATTAATTTGGGTTAATTGGTGGCACTTGTATCAGCGAGTCATTGCTGTTTCCGAGGGGTTCTTTAAAATATTTTCTAACTTTATTTTTTAACTTAAAAGCGCCTGAAAAATTCTGCTGTGACAAGAGTAAATTAATTTTCCGCTTGATTTTTAGTTGATAGGATATATCGCAGCATACACCAGTTAAAACTTCATAGTTATTACTATGCTGAAAGATTCCTAAGTTCCATAACAAAATACGGCTTGTGTAATGCTTATTAAAAGCAATCTACCTTAAAAAAAATTTAAAGCCGGCACTGAACAGAATGAGCTATGAATACTGTAGCAATGTTCTGAAATGCCTATAAAAGAACCAGTTTTTCACGCTTTATTGCGCGCATGACCATGATATTGCAACATAGAAGAAACAAATTCCGTAGTGGATAATTTTTTCACATTCTAATGAATGCTAAGCGTGACTGTCAACCGTTGCATTTAAAAGCAAAAAGAAAAAAAATTACCGTAATGGATAGCAACACACAGTTTTTTATGATTACTTGCACCCCAGAACAACACCCCTGAAGATGATCTTGGAAGAGGATCGAAACTACTTGGAAAATGGGAAATAAAAGCGATTTAAACAGTCATAGCACATTTCTCACTTCATTTAATTGCAATATACGGGAGGTTATTCGTGAGTATGAACGGATTCTGTTAAAATAAGCAAACATAATGTCTGTAATTTATTTAATCAGACATGCCTAAAAGAGAATTTGCTGCCTAAATACACAAATAACAAAATACATATATCTGCTGTCAATCCTACAGCAAGAACACCACCACACTCATATCGTTTTGAATGTTATTTTATTTTATTTTCTATTTTTATCCCTATTCTCTTATACAAGGTAACCAAAAAAAGTCCTTGCCGTTTTTTATTTATAAGAAAAAAAAAAAGGTTAACAGCAAATTTGACATATCGTTAGTCATGAAAGTAATCCCCATCAGCATCCAGTAGCGTTTGTCAATGTCACTCCAGCTGCGCAATGTCTCCTCTTCTAACGAAGGTGGTTGTCCAGAGAATGGAAGAGGTCGTAATCTGATTACGCAAGGCCCGGGATGTTAAGTGGATGGCACAGTATCTCCCAGACAAGTCGCCGTATGGTAGCCCTATTCATGCGGCTGCGGACAAGCCCTCCTTTATAGTCATAAATCATATATACCCCGAACGAGCTGCTTCGACAACGCCATGTTTCCTTGCCGCTGCTCGAGGTATGATCGTTGCGGGGTCGCAAACGCACCTGCATTGGTCAAGGGCACACAGCATACCCCACCGTTCTCCCGGTATGTGAACAAAGGCTTTTTGGTAACCTTGTACGCAACGTCACTGCTTTACTTTTTTTTATATTTTTTTACCTTAATAGGAGTAGACAGGTGCACCTATCGTCAGGTTCTCACTCCTCCCCGATCTTTAGAACAAGAGTAGAGGTTTTATCCCTTGTTTCCTGTTTAGGAGTGGGTTATCGGTTCCTTCTAAAGTTATTTTCTTTCTCTTTCACTCCCAGTAGCCTCTTGCGCGTTAGTGGCATTATCGCTTTGCCTGGGGTGAATCGATTAAAAAATTCCTTTAGGTCGTAGACGATTATGGCTTTCCATAGATTCCTTTGTTTTCTGATCTGTGAATTGCTATAATTTCACGAGAAAGATAGTGGAACGGTTTCTTGTTGTTTTACATAGTTTTGGATTCACTGTTTTTTTCTCCTACATTGGCTGACAACCAAAGCTAGAAAGACCAGTTGATCCTGCTATTTAATTTATTAAATACCGGCTCCCTTCAGGATAAAGGCAGTCATGGCTCTCCACAGGTTTCTTTTCTTTATTATCTATAAATTGACATACTTTTTTGTGAACGATAGAGAAGTGCAGGCCGGAATTCAAAGTAGTCCTTTTTCCTTTCAGGATGTAGAACGATCATGGCTGTACACCCAGATTCCTTTTCTTCATTATCTATGAATTACCATGGTTTCCCATTGCTTTCTCCATGGTTTGAATTTCAGAGTAAATATTCTTCTAGACTGGCAACCAACCAGGGCTAGTGAGCCCTGTTTATCCTGCTTTTTAACCTATAACTAGGATTTAATATGGTTACTGATTACAAAAATAACTAATTAATGCAAATCAATAACATCTATCAAATTAGATACAAATTACTAGAATTTCGTTTGATAAGGGACGTCAAAAAGAACATTTTTAAAGCATATCACCCCAAGCAAGGCGGGAGTGCTACTAGCACGGAAGGGATTTCAGAGATTGAGAACAGGAGTAAAAAGGGTGTTTGAGGAAAGGATATAGAGATTGACGGGGAGCAGGATCAAGGCATCAGAAGATGTAGATTGACATTACATTTGAATATTTGAAGATTATATCAGGGAAGTAAATAAAAGAAAGGTATCTGTTTCGACAGTGAAAGGGTGGGATCGAGATACCAACCCAGTAGCTTAAATTCATGCATTTTGGGTACCAGTGAAAGTAGCTCGTCAGAGCAGGTGTCATGAAAATACTTGTAGAAAAGACAGACGGAAGCCACAGCATGTCTGTGAGAGAGCGACTGTCGGTAACCTTGACATATTTGGGAAGGATATTAGAATAACTTAGAATGTATGCTGGCAGCAAACCGCGTGCATACAAATTCCGAAAATATACAAAAATAGGAAGGGGTTTAAGACAAGGATGTGTCTTCTCGCCGGACTTATTCAACTAATACACTGATGCGGTTCTGAGAAAATTAGAAGTCCTTTCAGGATTCATTATTGGCGGTCCCAATCTTAACAACATAAGATTTGCAGATTACACAGCTGACAAAAGCTAGCGGACAACATTCCAGCCTCTTACCCCCAAACTGAACAAAATCCTAGTCTCATAAATCAATTGAAAATTCAAGAAAGAAAAGCGAGAAGAAAGGACTATCAATTGTAAGAAGACGGAACGTATGGTTGTCAGCAAAAGAAACAGCCCAACTGAAATATCTAGGAAGTGTTTAAACAGAGGAAAGAAAGTGCGATACTTAAACCCAAAGGCACATTGGGATAGCAAAAGATGCCTTCCAAAAGCTAAGCAATGTATTAAGAAACTGAAAAATCGTTTTAGAAACAAAGAAAAGAGTACTGAACGGTTATGTAATATCAATCATCCTATATGGCAGTCAATGCTGGACAATCTCCTCGAAGATTAAGAAGAGACTTGAAACAACAGAATTGTGATTCTAGAAAAAGGATTCTGAGTATACCATGGACTGAACATGTGAGCAACAATGAAGCTTTAGAGAAAATGGAAACAAAAGGATACTTGTACATCAGGAAGAGACAGTTGAAATTATGAACGAACACACATTCCAATGCATGGAGTTTGGTTCTCTGTCCAGTGGTTAGCAGAAAGGTACTAATCCTTCATTCTTGTATAAATGAATGAAAGAACTAAAACTGGGAGATATGGTAAGGAGAAAACATTTTAGGAGGAGGGCTGTTTATTTTTTATTTTTTTTTTATAAAAAAAATCGGATTCTTTTTCATTTTTTCACATAACGAAAGTTATTGACATTTGGAAAAACGTTCATGAATATATGTTTCAAATATAATATCCCATAATGCATTTCACTTCTATGACTTCTTTAGATGAATAACGACAAATGTGTTGTGTGTGTATGCATTTGTGTGCGTTTAAAATAATTAAATCTTATATTATTTTTCCCAAGCTGGCGTTTCTCAAGACTAAAAGATTTCATTATTTTAAACACACAAAAATGCAAACACACACAACACATTTTTCGTTATCCATCTGATGAAGCCATTAGAGGCAAAATGCATTATGGGATATTATTTTCGAAACATACTTTCATGAACGTTTTTCCAAATGTCAATGACTTATAACTCTGTCGGGGTTACATACCAAAATTTATTAAATAAAGAAATCCAAAGAAGCGTAAATCAGATACGAATAGCTTTAGGGATTAAGAAAGACAATTGGATAAGTTAGAGTTACCAAATTAACAAGTTATCTGACATAGGATACCATGGATCGAATATGTGAGCAACGGCGAGGTTTAAGAGAAAATGGAAACATTATACTTATCATCAGGAAGAGACAGTTGAAATTTCCGCTACACATAAAGAGGAAAAAAGGTTTCGAAAATTTGATACTCACAGGACAGATTGAAGGCAATAAGGACAGAGGAAAACAACGCATAACCTACCGAAAGACATTGAGTAAAAGTGTTGCAGAACAGGGTTTAGGAGAAATAACAATAAGATATACTTTATTAAGAGCTTTTTTTTTAAGCGTTTCATCCCAAGCAAGACGGGTAGCCACTAGCACGCAAGGGGTTACAGAAAGTTGGAGCTAGAGCAAATAAGAGTGATAGAGGAAAGGATGAAGAGAAGGTTAGGGGATAAATCAGGGCATCTGGAGACGTCGATTGGCATTACATTTAAATAGTTGGAAATTATAGCTATCAGGGAAACAAGAACTGGGGAGGAAGTTCTACAGGCGAGAGGTGCGAGACATGAAGCTATTAGAGGAGAAGAGACAGCTACATTTAACAGTTTCGACAGTGAAAGGGTGTGAGCGAGATCCCAGCCTAGTAGAACGCTTAAATTCATGAAGATTGAGAACCAACGAAAGCAGCTCCTCGGAGCAGTTACCATGAAAGTATTTGTAAAAAAGACAAGGGGAGGCAGCGGCACGTCTGTGAGAGAGCGACTGCCGATGAAGAACAGGAAATTGTGGAGAGCCATAATCTCTACCGTCCTGAAGGGACACTTTATATAGAAGAAGAACGTATATTTATTAATAAGTTTTGTAAATAAACGAATGAAAAATATAAAAATGCAACAAACATTATGGGACAGAGGTATTAATTTATATTAATAAATGTTGCCAATAATCAAAGAAATATATAGTAATGTAACAAATATTATGGGACATAGGTAGTCATTTATAATAATAAGTGTTTTTTAATCATTACACCCCAAGCAAGGCAATAAAGCCACTGAGACATAACGGTGTAAAAGAATATGAGAAAAAGAAAAACGCCCTTAAGGAGAGAGAACAATAAAAGAAGAGAAATTAAGAAGACAGAATATAACGATTGACATTGCATTTAATCATTTCATCCCAAGTAAGGCAATAAATCTACTAAGACGCAAGGAGTTACTGAGTGAAAAAGAATATAAGAAAAAGAAAAACATTATTGAGGAGAGAAGGAACATTAAAAGAACAGGAATTAAGAAGACAGAAGATAACGCTTGACATTGCTTTTAGTTTTTTATTAGAAAGTGTTGCCAATAATCAAAAGTAATGTTAAATAATAGTTTATCAGACTATTATTTTTAGGGGGAATTGTATCTCTGCTCGGGCTTCCTGAGGTCAGATGGAAGACAAAACAGGAAGTCGATTTTGATTAGCTGAGCTAGCGTGGGAATGATAGATACAAAGAAAGGTTTTTCAGGGTGTTGCTTCCTACACGTCAAGAAATGTAGACGTGTTTTCTTTCATGTCTGAAACGGCTCCCCAGTGGATGGAAAGCGACCTTATTTCTCAGGTATTGGTCGGAGACGTTAACCATTTCTATCTTTCCTTCTTTCTTTCTTTCGTTATTTCTTTTTTTACTCTCTTTCTTTCTTTCTTTCTTTCTTTCTTTCTTTCTTTCTTGCCAAATCTCCGTCTCCCAAACATTTTTCAAAAAAATAATTAAAAATAATTCAGCGGACGATTTTATTTTATTTTATTTATGATAACTGTATTTTTGGCTGTTGCATTTCCCGGTTTCCGTCATTCAATACTGTGCATTTGATAAATGGCGTTTTTAACGCGATCGCTGTCGATTCCCGGCTTTTCATACTATAGCATCTGTTTTTATCAGCTTAATCTGTCTCCTCACTATCTTCCCTTATTTCTTTCTTTCATTTTCTCACTGAAACCAAGTAGTGTCTTTCGTTCATTATTTATACGATATTGGCAGGGCGTAACGGTCGTGCGAACATACGAAGGCAGGGACTAGCACGATTATAATAGTTTGGTTTGGTTTGTTTTATTTTACGGCATGTCAATCTCAACGTGTTATTTAATGCCGACAAAATTTTCAATGTTGGTAATATTTTTTTCCAAAAATCTATTTCTGCTAACATTTTTTCCTTCAAAAAAATTATTTCTGATAATATTTTTCCTTTGCTGGTAATATTTTTTTCAAATAATGTATTGCAGGTAATATTTGTTTTTTTGTTTTTTACAAAAATGTATTACTGGTAATTTTTGTGTTTCAAAAATGTATTACTGGTAATTTTTGTTTTTTAAAAATGTATTACTGGTAATTTTTGTGTTTTAAAAATGTATTACTGGTAATTTTTGTTTTTTAAAAATGTATTACTGGTAATTTTTGTGTTTCAAAAATGTATTACTGGTAATTTTTGTTTTTTAAAAATGTATTACTGGTAGTTTTTGTGTTTCCAAAATGTATTATTGGTAATTTTTCTTTTTCAAAAATGTATTGCTGGTAATAATTTTTTACAAAGTATATCGGGTATTAAAATCTATTTTTACACTTTAATAGTGTTTTGACCCCAGTTTAGGGGGTCAACTATTTGTCCATAGCTGGGATCTTAACAGGTGCTACCACCCCGGGTCAGGGTGGATCTGGGAACACCAGCAATTAAGAGGAGGTTTCACGCTCCTCAAAACCTCCTGATCAGAGGCCTTGCTGCTGGATGTAGTTTATCGTCTTACCCAGGACGCAATTCTGATAGGATGCAATAGATACGATGATGTGTTTATACTGACTTATATTTACAGGGTTATACAAAAGAACGGTGAGCCTGAAAAGCCTGAATCCGAAACTAAAGATTTTATTGGCTGTTGGAGGTTGGAAGATTGGCTCGAAACCATTCCTCCCTGTTATCGAAAGAAAGGAAAACATGAAGATCTGGGTGAATAACGTTGTTGCATATCTTCGAAAGTAAGTATTCTCAAACGAGAAGAAAAACGCCAAGTGCCTGCCCGCTTCGTAGGATGTACAGGTGGTGTAATTAACGGCGGCTTGAAATGAGAAATGGGAGAGTCGAGTTCAAACTCCAGTCGGGGTTGTTACATTCACTTACGTGAAAACACCATTGGGAAATTGACGAATTCATCTGTTACCCCAACTATGGGTTAAATAGTAGGACTTGTGTCTGGAAAAAAATTATTGTTATTCTCAAAGAAAATCTTAATGCAATATTTACCCCACCCCACCAACAAAAAAGAATCAATCTTACAATTCAAAATATTTTTCGGCTTTAAATAATCCACAAAGGGTTGACAAGCTGCAAAAATATATTAACCAATCTACGCTGCCTGCTTCGTAATTGAAACGATAGCGTATTTTTCACCGAAGTCAGTGATCGGTGTTCAATCCCATGTACAAAAACAAGGAGTACCAATGTTAATTTCCAAGGATCTACTCATGTCAGTCAGTTATGTGCCATGCGTAATACACGCTTAGGCGATCATGTATCTTTAGATACATGACTGACGAGGTAGATTTTTTGCCGCAGTAAGTTGCCAGCGGCAGACCAGTTGTCAGCCAAGGCTAAATAACCCACAAAGAGTTGACAAACAGCAAAAAAAATTATTAACCAATACAACCTGCCAGCTTCGTAACTGAAGGCTATAGAATCCGGTCTGTCCTGTTATTTACCCACGGGGAGGAGAAGAAGATGATTCATACCTTTCCCAAGGCTAACCGGCTAAAATCGCTCTTCAGAGTCAATCGAAGGCAAAAATCATAAATAAATGCACAATGACTAAAAAGAGGAAGAACAAATATTACCAGAGAATCAGTAGAAAAAATCAAAGTCTAAGTATATGTCCGTGATGAATACTGTTGATTCCCCGGTAGTATTTTTTCTTACCCGTTTTATCTGTTGAACGCATGTTTTTTTTTTGTCCTGGATTGATTCTGAAGAGCGAGGAGTGATAACCAGTTACACCTTTTTTGTTGTTACACTTCTCGAGCTGTCATTTTACAATGAGTAATTTTTTTCTTATGTTCGTCAAAGGGTTTGTCTGATGATCGCATATAGCATGAAACCCAGGGTCACAAACTCACATCAATCTAACTAAATATGTTAGCTCTATCAATGATATTGAGCGCTTTCCAACAAGTACCACGCATATATAATATATAAATAATATATATAAAAAAATATATATATATATATATATATATATATATATATATATATATATATATAAATTGACTATATATATATATATAAATTGACTTCTTTTTCATACCAGTTTCAATATTCTATCTGGTTTAAAAAATGTTTTATACGATTGGAGATCTTCGTTATCAATCAGCCCTTGTAATTAATCAATAAACGAATCATGTTACATATTCATTCAGTTTGTATTCACATCTAAATTGTTTGCACTCTAAAGTTGATTTTTTTCTCGATATTATTTCATTCAGGTATAACTTCGATGGCCTTGATGTGGATTGGGAGTTTCCCGGTATCCGAGGCAGTAAAACACAGGACAAGAAGAAGTTTACACTTTTGATGAAGGTGTGTGTGTGTTGTTTGAAATCAACGATTCGAAAAGGACCTCCAATCTGTGGTTGACTGGGGCAGGAAATGCCTCGTAAACTTTAATGCCTCCAAAACGAAACCGCTCTCATTTACCCACCATAGAGAACCAACCCTGCCTCCCCGAGAGCGCCTCCCTGCGCCTGTTTGGTCTCACGCTTTCCACTGACTTGAGGTGGAACAACTGCATTGAATAAATAGCTTCAGCTACTGCAGGAGAAGTTGGGTTTTTCTCGCCTGAGTCCATCCTTGAAATCTAAAAATCAACCATTCGTCCTCGCATTGAATACTGCTGCCATATATGATCTGGCACCCCGCTATTCATCTCGAGGTCCTCGACAAGATCCAGAGACAGATAAGCAATGTGATATGTCCTAATCTGGCATCTAATCTACAGTCACTCTCTCACAGACGTGAGGTGGCTTCCCTTTGTCTTTGTTTCTGTTTTTTCTACAAGTATTTTCATGGCAATTACTCTGATGAGCTACTTTCACTGATACTCTGTTGTGGATTCCCAGATGAAATTCGGTCTCCAATGAAGAACAAACGCAATAATTAAATATAAGAAATAAAATGTATTTACACAATCATACAAAGGGTAATACTGTTAGTAAATCCAGGAACACGGTTAGTAGCAAATACAGATAGACATATACAGTCTCGAAGTAGGACTTCCTTAGAGTCTACGTGCTTGTAACTGACTTCTACAAGAGGCTACCTCACACTATCTCCGTTCGTATATTCTCTCTCTCTTTCCGACTACGCCCTGATTGACTGTGGGTATTTAACGGCAGCAGTCTAAGTAACACTTGGTAGAGTCCACTTATATAGAAAAGGGGTGGACCCCATAACATACCCCAACTGCATAAATTTAAGCCTGCTACTAGGTTGGCATTTCGGTCCTACGGTCGAAACGGTTAACTGTAGCCGTCTTTTCTACTCCAGCAGCTACTTATCTCGCACTTCCCGTCAGTGGAACTCCCTTCCTCCCACTTGCTGCCCGGATAGATATAATCTTCAAATATTCAAATGTAATGTCAATCGACATCTTCTGATACATTAATCCTGATCCCCGTCTTTCTCTATATCCTTTTCTCAAACACCCCTCTCTACACCTGCTCTCACTTTCTGTAACCCCTTGCATGCTAGTGGCTCTCACGCCTTCCTTAGGGTGATATGCTTAAAAAAAATGTGAACGTTCTTTGAACGTTTACATCTAATGTCTGTTGGTTATCGTTGGAATTTGAGTAGCAGCAAGTCACCTTAATTTTCCCGCATTTTTCAAAGTATTCTCGCAGAGTCCGTGGTCTGCGTAGTCTAAACCTTTCCACGGATTTCTGACAGAAACACGTGCTTCTTCTTTATGTGCCGTTTCCTTTCAGTACTAAAGCGATCGTGGCTCTCCACAATTTCCTGTCCTTTGTAACGCTTAATAAATTTTGTCCTTTTATTATTTCTCCTAAATCTTGATCCGCCATCTAAGTTCAGGCTCACTAAATAATTTATGCGTTGATTTCCTCTGTCTTCTTGCCTTCAATCTGTCTTGTGAGTATCAGATTTTCCAAGCCCCCTAACCTCATTATGTGCTCTAGAAATTTCAACTGTCTCTTCCTGATGTTAAGTATAAGTATAAGTGTTGCCGTGTTCTCCCTTTTAAGAGTCTATGTTAGACTCTTCCGCCTACAACAAGATCATTAGGAGAGAAGACTTCGTCGGAACAGTGCCTTCGCCTGTTCAACTGTCGAACTCTCTGCCTTAAACAGAGAGGAACCCGGACGAGGCTTTGCCGAAGGGCAAAGTTTCGTCCGGAGAGGTAGAGAGACCCTGAAGCCGTTTATACGGTTTCTAAGGAAGTAATTTTGGCCGAGGCTACGGACTCGGAGAACTCACGGTAAACTCGGCCTTGTGCCACAAACATCCCTCGCGGGTCGGGGAGACTGTTAAATATTAACAGTGCCTTCGCCTGTTCTACTGTCGAATTGTCTGCCTTGAGCAGAGAGGAACCAAGACGAGGCTTTGCCAAAGGGCAAAGTTTCGTCCAGGGAGGTAGACACACCCTGAACCCGTTAGATACGGGTTCTAAGGGAATATTTTTGGCCGAGCCTACGGGCTCGGAGAACCCACGGTAAACTCGGCTTTCTGCCACATACATCCCACGTGGTGGTTGGCAGGGGTGGCTGTTAAATATAACAGTGAATGGACTGAGCGCTAGTTCATTTGAGACACTCTTACTAGTCGTGTAATACTCTTCTGGTGTACTTACTATTTAAAATACGATATAACTGCAAACCTGGTTTTTGTTATTACTAAACCATTTACTTGTTCACAACAATAAGTTTCCTTTTTGTTTCCATTTTCTCTAAAACCTCGCCGTTGTTCACATGTTCGATCCATGGTATCCTATGTCAGATAACTTGTTAATTTGGTAACTCTAACTTATCCAATTGTCTTTCTTAATCCCTAAAGCTATTCGTATCAGATTTACGCTTTCTTTGGATTTCTTTATTTAATAAATTTTGGTATGTAACCCCGACAGAGTTATAAGTCATTGACATTTGGAAAAACGTTCATGAAAGTATGTTTCGAAAATAATATCCCATAATGCATTTTGCCTCTAATGTCTTCATCAGATGGATAACGAAAAATGTGTTGTGTGTGTTTGCATTTTTGTGTGTTTAAAATAATCAAATCTTTTAGTCTTGAGAAACGCCAGCTTGGGAAAAATAATATAAGATTTAATTATTTTAAACGTTAATAAATGCATACACACACAACACATTTGTCGTTATTCATCTGAAGAAGTCATAGAAGTGAAATGCATTATGGGATATTATATTTGAAACATTTATTCATGAACGTTTTTCCAAATGTCAATAACTTTCATGTGAAAAAATAAAAAATAAAATCCGATTTTTTTTATAAAAAAAAATGATCAGCCCTCTTCCAAAACAGTTTTCTCCTTACCATCCCTCCCAGTTTTAGTTCTTAAATCATACTTATTATAAAACCCAGGTTGTGTGTCTGTACGTTTATATATTGGATCGGATTTCCTACATTTTTCAACCGATTTCAACAAAACTTCACTTTCAGGTAGTGTTTCTTATTGTCTTGCACACTTTTTTCTTTATTTTTACATTCAGAATGCTTTAAAAATTCCATTTAAAAGACAATTGTTTATGATAAAATTCTATTCAATCGGTAGACTCATAACGATTGAAAACAATGTTTTTGTTTGTGTTTGACCAATTCGTAAAAAAACAAAAAAAACTAATTAAGACACGCGTGTCCGCCAACCTTAAACAATAATCTTTGTCAATTTTATTTTTCAGTCTTTATGATGGTCGATACTTGATCTATCTCTTACTATTACATTCCCGGGCAACGCCGGGCTCTACTGCTAGTTCATTTATACAAGAATGAGAGATTAGTACCTAACCACTGGACAGAGAACCAAACACCATGCATTGGAATTTGTGTTCGTTCATAATTTTGTTTCTTCCAGTTTGAGTTTATTTTCGCAGCTAGCTTGTTTTCTTCCATTTTTTTAATATATCCGTGAGTTTGTTAGAAGCACTGTATAAGTTTGCTATGTCAAAACAATGAAAACTCTACAAATTCTTATTTCTAATCGATACAAACCGAATAGAAATTCAACAAATGTTAAATTCAACTACTACAAATTGTAAAAATCAATGTGTATTACACACGATCGATGTTTCTTTCTAGCCCAAATTTAGCGATGCGCAGTATATACAAGTGCGAAAA